GTTTTTTACCCTTTGAAAGTTGAATTTGGAATCTGCACCTTAATTGCATTGAACATATAGATTACTCCCTGTAGGATTGTTCTTTTCACTATATAGAGTTTTCTTATGCATGAACAGGAAATATTCTTCCATTAAGTTAGGTCTTACTGTTTCTTGTATTAATACCTTGTAACTTTTTTATGAAGTTCTATTAAATAATTTTAATGTTTCTCTAGTTAGGTTTCTATCAATTATTTCTTCTTACAGTTGGCTATTGTAAGTGCTATTATTTTTTTAGTTTCCTTTTCATGTTTTCTTTGTTGTTATAGAAAATTCTTGCTGATTTTTGTATATTGATTTTGTGTCTTGGCACTCTACCAAAGTGTTTATTAAGTTTAACAGTTTTTGGTTGAGTATTTTTTTTTTTTTGTATACACTGTCATTGTGGGCGTATAACTACCAAAAGTTTTAACACCTATTTGCCTATTTGGGTTCCTCTGACTGCTTTCTCTTGTCTTATTGCCCTAGCAAGTACATTCATTTTATTGTTAAGTAGCAGACATCCTTTCTCATTCATATATACAATGGAAATGCATGTAGTCTTTCTCCACTGAGAATTTTGCTTGCCCTTGGTATATACTTAGACTTTTCACTATGGTGAGGAAATTCTCTTCTATTGCTATTTTGTTGAGTGTTTTAATCAGGAAGAGTTTTGGGTCTTGTTAGAAACCTTTCCGTATTAATTGATACAAACATATATGGTCTTTATTCTTTGCTTTGTTAATTGGATGAATTATATGATTATTTTCTTATACTGAACTTTCTTTGTATGTCTGTTATGAATCCCACGTGGTTTTGATGAATTACTTGTTTGATATACTTTTGGATTCTATTCGTCGATGTTTTAAATAATTTTTTAAATCTATGTTTATGAGCGATACTGTTCTATAATTTTCATTTTTAAATTCAATAGGAATTTTATGAAGATGCATAATTGTTTTAATTTTGGAATACATTAGTCCATATTTACTATAAATGCCAGGATCTTAATTTCTTTATTTTTAAATACACTTAAAATTTTTATAATGAGAAATGATAGGTATTTTATACTTGAATAAATACTATCTGTGTGGTCAACTATTTAAAATCCTATTAAAACAAACAAGTTGTTATCTGTCACTCAATGGTAGTGAAGCTTATTGGTATCTGTCATTTTTTTGGGTGGTGTCAAGTTGGAACTAACCTTTAGCTAACCCTCCAGTGGGTTTTTAGAGGCAGTAAATCACATGAGAGGAGATCATCCATTTTTCCTCTGTGGAGCATTGAGTGGATTTGAACAACATGCCTTTGGGATTGTAACACTGTCTTACGACAAGTCCACCAAAGCCATCTTATTGTCACCTAGATAAACTTATTCTCAGACATGATCTATGCATTTAGCCTTTTTCGGTCCTATGTGGCCTAAAATTGTTGTCTTTCTTATGTGATATTTGCAAGTTTCTATAAATGTACTTATAAAAATAATCTTATTCATTGGTTCAGTGTTCAAGTATACTTTAATTTAAAAAAATATATTTTAAAAATGCTTATTTCTAAATGCCCAAGTTCATAACTTGGCAAATAATTTTAACCTAAAATTTCTCTATGTATTATTTTACCAACTAATTTCTCCTTATTGATAAAAATAAAAATAACCTCTGTGCAATTCTTAAGTACCTTACATTTTCTTTTGATCCACAAAAGTGCAGTTAAATCAAATAGTCTTTTTTTTTCCAACAAAAAAAATAGAAAATAAAAAAAATCTTTTTTTTTAATAAGAAAAAAATCCTTTTAAAATGTGTGCCTTATCTTTAGAGTCAAGCATAAAATAAATAGTACATTCCAAGTTAGGGTGCTTTGGTTCCTTCCTGTTGATATTATGTACTGTTTTCTTAACCACAGACAAATCATGTCATTCCTCAGAACTGAATTTTGTTTGCTTCTAAAAACTGATGATGATCTTTGTGTATAAAACCTCTGTCAGAGTATCTGGATTTAGTAGATACTTTTGTTACAGGTGTTAAATCTCATGCAAAATTTTAAAAGTTAACTTTACTAGACATCTGGTACTTATTCTTCCTAAAATTCATTTCATTACTCCTAGATGCTGTTTAGAACTGATAACAGATAGACCTCCTTCTGTTCAGGAGGAGCTAGATCTTATTCAAGCCCTTGGATATCTCGAGGAATTTGGGGTAAAGATCCTGCCTTTACAAGGTGAGTATTCTACTTAATGTACTAGTAAGTTAAAGTGTGTTAATTTGCTAGTGTTCTTTTACTATTAAGGATATTAAGCAAATGGAAACTGTAGAGGTTTTGTAGCTTTCTCTGCCTCAACTTTTAAAAATGTTCATATTTTCCTTACTGGAATACATTTTTATCCAACTTTTTCAAAGAATCACTTTGATTGTTCAGTCTGTCACCTCCTGCTCTCGTCTTTCAGGTGGAATCTTGAGTGAGAATTCAAAATAAAGAAAAACTGAACAAGTTGCAGACCTTTGGGTTTTTTTCCCAAGTTTGCATTTATAACATAAGAAATACCACTGTAATTAATACTGGTTTAAGTTTTGGATTACAAACAAATATGTAAATTCAAGACTATGGAAGAAAGTTTGAGATTATTATCAGTTTAGTTTTGATACATATTTTTATATTGTGTTACAGTTATATAGATATTAAGTAAATATGAATGATAAGTGAGGAAAGGCATGGTGATCTACTACTGACAATAACCAACAGACCCTCTATGTAAAATACTGGCTTGACCCCTAACTAAGCTTTTATATCATAGTCCATACGAGTTTCACTGCTAACCCAAAGGCTGTACCTTTGGGGGTCTGAACCAGCGAGAGCTCCAGGGGAGGGAGATGGCCAGTCTCTTCTGGTGTCATTTATAATCTCCAAAAATCCATTGAAGTGTTAACTATGAGTTGCTTCTGACTCAACAGCAATGAGAGGAAGGGAGAATTGATAGCAGTTAACAATGAAAACAAAAATGATACGAGTTTGATTTTATTCTTTGAAAAGTGTCCTTTCTATCGCAAGCATTTTTTAATAAGTAGATTTTATTGTTTGCAAGGAATGATGACTAATATGTGTTGTAGGTCTAGTGATCAACAGGGAATGGTGATGAAGGTGAAGTTCAAGCTGCTCTGGAGATATTGTGGGGGAAATTATCCCAGGAATTGATGGAATTCCAAATTGACGTATGTCAACAAACAGATGCTGCCCTGGTCATGCTCACAAGGTTGTGTTGTAAAATCAGGAGGACAACTACTTGGCCAATTGACTGGAAGAGATCCATATTTATTCCTATCTCAAAAAAATAGGTGACTAGTCCAAGTGTGGAAATTATCAAGCAGTATCACTAGTACCACACACAAAGAAAAATCCTCCTGAAGTTTGTCCAAAAACAACTGGAACCATACATTAACGGAGAACTACCAGAAATACAAGATGTGTTTAGAGGAAACTGTGAGGCACTAGAGACATTATCACCAATATCAAATGGATTTTGACTGAAAGCAAAGAGTACAGAGAAATGTCTGTGTTTCATTGCCTGTGCAAAGGCATTTGTCTGTGTAAATCACAACAATTTGTGGTTGACCTTGAGAAGAATAAGAATTCCAGAACACTTTATTATGCTCATGTGAAACCTATATTTGGACCAGGAGGCAGTTGGCAAAACAGAGGAAGGACACAATGGTTCCAAATCAGGAAAAGTGTGTTAGAAATGCATCCTGTCTTCATACCATTTCAATCTGTATACAGAACAGGAGGCTGGAATTCATGAGGAGGAGTACGGCATCACGATTCGAGTAAGACTCAACAACAGCCTGTTTTATGCATATGACACAACCTTGCTTGCCAAGACCCAGGAGAACCTGAACCATTTCCTGTGGAAAGTCAGGACTGTAGGCTTCAATATGGATTGAAGGCCAATATGAGGAAGACAAAGATTCTCACCCCTGGGCCAATTGGTATCACCATGATGGATGGAGAAGAGATTGAAGTTGTTAAGAAATTCAGCTTGTTTGGCTGCACAATCAACACTCTTGGCACCAGCAGTCAGGAAAATCAAAAGGCAAATTGTGGAAATCAGCTCTCAGTGACCTCTCCAAAGTGCTTAATAGTAGTGATGTGATTCTAGAGACAAAGGTGCACCTGATTTAGGCCATGGTCTTCACAGTTACTTGCTATACATCCGGAACAGGACAGTGACTAAGTATGACAGAAGAATTGATGCCTTGAGTTGTGGTTCTGGAGAAGAATAATGAACGTACTATGGACTATCAGGAGAACAAATAGATTGTCTTGAAGCGGTGAAACCAAGTTTCTCCTTAGAGGCAAGGATTTCGAAGCTCTGTCTCACACACTTTGGGCACGTGGTCAGGAGAGACCAGTCCTTGGAGAAAGACATCATGCTCGGAAGAGTGGAGGAACAGTGCAGAAGAGGGAGATACCAGATAAAATGGATTGACATGGTGACTGGGACAGTTGGTTTATGTGCTTCCAAGTCAGTGAGACTAGCTCAGGAGAGGACAGGGTTCAGAGCTGTTGTACATATGGTCACGATGAGGCATGGATGACTTGATGACACTTAACAATAACACCTTTAGTTTGTTCATGTTCTTTTATTTCAGTGTAAAACTCATGAAGGTCCTACTCAGACGTACTTCCTTTTACATAATTTTTGTTATCATAAACTTATTTTGCGAAGATAGTTTATAACTGAAAAGGCCCTGAGCCTTACCTACCATTTATTGCAAGGTTATGTTTTTCTTCTCTTCAGAGCCTTAAGTGAAGAAGATGTTCTTGGTTGGCTAGTTATGTAACAGATTCTCTTTCTTCTTAATTCAACTCAGGGCATATTTGAATTTGTGGGAAAGAATAACAGAGTTCTGTATTTCTCTTTTCTGGTAAAATACCACTAGATAGTCTCTTTTTAAAAATCATTTTTTGCAAAGTTTTATAACTTGTTGTAAGTTCCTTGGCATCCTTGTTTTCTTTGTATTTTAGATGGGCCTTAGAGGATAGTATCCATCAGAGAGAACTTCATATGCTAGAATCTCTGCGCAGCATCCGTGCTAATTTCCTAGGGCTTCTCTGACATTGTAGTGTTTCCTGAGCCAGCCCAACTCTCTTGGTCTTGGGCTTTGGGCTTTCTGAGCCTCTACTGTGGGAACAGTCTGACTCTCTAGGCTTCCACCCTTGGGCCTGCTGAGCTGGCATCAAAGTTCTGCCACCAGCGCCATGATATCTCTATGTTTTGTTTACTTGTTTTTATTTACGTGTAGGAGTATACTCACTTATCTGTAATTTTCTTGTATTGGAGTGATTTGCATATTGTTGTACTTAATAGCTTAGATAGGTGTATGTTTGCTCGTTTCTCATCTGTTTTTAAGAGTACAGTGCTTGTCTGTTAGATGCTTCACAAAAGCAGAATTCCCAGATTAACTATGAAGAAGGACTGGCCAGGTGCTTCAGAAATTATAAGCTATTTCAAAACTCTATGAACAATAGAGCACAGTTGTACAGTTTGATATAGTGCTATGGAGGTATAACTCTCAGATTGGTAGACCCTTGAAATGAGAACAAATAGCTACAAACATATGAAGTAGGAATGTAGGAAAATTTCAGTTTGTAAAAAAATAAATGGATCACATGAAGATAAAGGATTTGCTGTTCTAGAGATGGAAAATTGAGAAAGAATGGTGTTACATTTATAAGTAAAAGACCATTTAAAGATCTGTCCTGAAGTATATCATGTAGGAAGATGGAAGGAATACACCAAGTCAGTGTGCTAAAATATTTTTAGGAGGTAGATTATGAAAATGAGCCAGTAGTTACAAATGAAGATGTTCAAGCTGCACTGAAGGCATTGCCAAAAAATAAGATTCGGGAATTGATGGAATACCAATGGATGTGGGTTTTTCCCCTTTTTAATTGTGATTTTAATGGAAGTTTACAGAAAAGTTGCATTTTTATTAATTTTATTTTTGCACATTACCCTCCCTGTCACCCCCAGATCACTTAAAAAAAATAATTCATTGTTGCATATCCCCCCCCGCCCCAGTCCACTTTGCTGTGCCTCTCATATTCTGGACTTTGTCATAAAGATAATGGCTAATCATATATTCCTTTTAAACAGTTCTTTCCTTCATCTGTTCCAATGCAGTACTCATTATTTATTCCCTTTTTTCTCAGTTCCCCCCTAACCCCCATGTCGGTTCTGTTTTATAACAGTGGTCTTAGGTAGTATTCATCCTTTCGTTACTGAGCTGTTTCACTGAGCATAATATCCTCCAGGATCACCCATGTTGTTCATCTAACACATGTTGTCCTGGGCTTACCAGTACCAGGAAATTTGGAACATAGCTGACTGGAAGAGATCCATATTTTTTCTCTATTTTCAAGAAGGATGATCCAAAAGAGTATGGAAATTACAAACAATATAATTTTTGTCACATACAAGCAAAATATTGCTAAATATCATCCAAAATTGGCTAGAACATTGCCTTCATCGAAGACTGCTAGAAGTTCAAATTGTGTTTTGAAGGGACGGTGACACTCAGGATTTCATTACTAATGTCAGATGAATTCTGCTTGAAAGCAAAGAATATCAGAGGAATGACTATTTGTATTTTGTTGACTATGCTAAGGCATTTGTAAATGGAGCAAAGGCCATATGGGAACAGCAATACGTAATCTCTGTGCCAACTCCACAGTAGGGAACTGTCCCCATCAACAGCACCCACAATATAAAATCAGTTCCCATGAGGTCAGACATATCCCCCACACTCCAGTATCTCTTTTTACTCATCCCAACACCATTCTTGTTGTTATTGTTATGTGCCGGTAAGTCACCTGTGACTCATAATGAACCTATATACATTAGCTCTGAACCTTGCCCTGTACTGAACCAATCTTAACATCTCTGACAGACATAATCTCATGTCTGTAGTCACTGAGACAGTCTGTCTCCTTTGGCGTCTTCCTCTTTTATGCTGTCTCTACACCCTTCCAAACGTGATGTCCTTCTCCAAGGACTGATCCTCCCTGGCGACATGCCTGCAGTATGTGAGATGGAGCTTTAAAACCTCGTCTTCAGGGAGTGGCTTTGTTTCACCCTGTTCAAGACAGATCTGTTTGTTCTCCTATGAGTCTATGGTATGTTCAAGATTAATTTACCAGCACCACAGCTCAAAGGCATTAAT